AAAAAAAAAAAAAAAAATACCACTGGAAATTGCATAATTGTAAATCAAGAATGAACCAAAATCCAAGGAGTTTTTCGCGCTATAGTATCAAGAATTAACACCATTTTGACAACACACAACACAAGTATAGCATCTCTATACACGGCAACATTTTTAGAAAAGAAAAATACCATATCTCCACAAATCACGTGAACGTTGAACAGGGCTCGGGAGGCCGAGAGCATGGGAGGTTGATCATAAGTCATAACTGCTTCCAGATCAATCTGATATATATTAGATATTTCAATATAGTTCCATCAGTTGATGCGCAACATCTGCAGAAACAGTAGCAAGCATTATATTGATGGATAAAAAATTAGTATTGCATAAGCAGAAGCAATAATAATTAATAATCACTAAGCACATTATACACACATTGCTCTGTATTATTTGTCCAAATTTAATGATCTCATCCACTTTCTTCCTAGTTTGAAAACATTTACCCTTTTTCTTTCTTCATTCTTTTCTACCCAAACAGTGCACCCGAAAAGGGTTTACGTCTTCCACTATGTCTTTTGTACAACATGAGAAAAACAACTATGATTTCATATATAATAGCATTCACTTAAACAACATATTGATATTCATGACCATTTTTACTCTCTTAAATATCCAACCACTTCTATTCACTTGTTACGTACTTAAAGAAAAGCACTTAGCGATGATTTGCATGTAGAAGCCATGTAAAGAACTCATCAGAAAATAAATTAGGCCTCTGGCTTCAGTAAGTTTACTTAAAGAGTGTGAAAGTTTCTACCGCTTAACGGGCTTCACAAAGTAAATTTAAAAGAGATAATTATATCCTGGACGAGAAAATTCAAAATTATTTGCACAAATAATTTCCCTTGTATATTTATTAGCATATATACCAATATTGTCAAAAATAATTACAGTTTTACTAGAAGTCTGTTCAGAACTCTTATCTTGACTTAATTAATAAATTTACTACTAATTAATGGTATGATATCATTACCAAAAATCGGTTCCCGAGGTACATGGGATGAGAATTATCCCACTACCCAAAAAATATCCCACTAATTTCTTTTCTCTTCTATTCTTCTACATTTCATATCTTTTCTTCCTAACAAAGCTAATTCTGCTAATTCTGCAGAACCCTAAGAAATCGAAACACTACCATCGGAGACGGAAATTCACCACATCGGAGGTCGAGTTCCCGTCTAAGGGATATAAAATCAAACAGGCACCCAACCCTTGTACAAAAGAAATTGCAGTTCGACAAGAAATTGAGGAGATCGAAAAAAAATATGAAGTCACCGGATTCCGATTTCGAGGAAGAAATTCAAGCCGAAGTGAGTGATAGTGAAGAATGTTCGGTCGATGAAGAAGAAGGCGAGAAACTAATTAAAGATAAATTTCGGATCCCTGCTCGCGAATGTTTAAAGCGGCGTGGGGAGACGAAGGGCGACCGTGACCTAGGGCGTCGAAAGTGGATGGGGAAGGGCGATCCGTCATCTCCCTGCTCGCGATTTTCATCTCCACCAAACAGTATATATGTCGTATATATGTAGTATATTTATACCTTTTTTGTTGTTTGTGTAGTTGCAAGTATATATACTGTATATTTTTCGTATATATACTGTTTATATTTTTTTTCATATCCACACTATTAGAGTGTGTATAGTTTGGTTATATCGTATGAAAGATTTGAATTGAAAATTATAAGGATCGACATGATCCTACGTATACATATTGTACATTTGTCGTATATACTGTTTATATTATGTATATTTTCTGTATATGTTGTGTTCTCCATCATCTCGTTGATCAGAAAATGGACGACGCTGCTCGTGATAGACGACGTTGCTTGTGATTGTATAGTTCAGATTTTTTTTTTTAATTAATGAAAGAATACTGCCAGTTACGAGAATCTTATAATGACAACTGTTTATTTATTTTTTTATACAGTAGTTATCCAAATAATTTTGTTAAGTTAGACATATTTGCAAATAAGTTTTTATTTTTGTATTTATGCATTTCTTTTAAATTCATTACCGTATAACTGCAAATTGCCCTATTTAAAAAATTACAAGACAATGGTAAGTTGAAAAAGTAGCTCATCTAGCATCTAGTAAAAGTGGAACAAGCAATAGATCCAAAACTAAGACACTCCTACCGCTTTATCTGATTAATTACGCAGAATTAGGAAACAAACTCTGACAATCAAGAACAGTAAAAAAATATTATTTCTTAGCTATGAGCAATATTAATAAATCTCTTTTTTTTAGTAATAGCGAACATTAAACATTTCTTAATATTATTTAAGGCAAATGCAAATGACTCAGAAAGAAAATGGTGCTTACCACTTAGTACAGATGGTGGAGTATGAAACTCCTTCCAAACATTGCCAGACGAAGAAAGATTCAAACTTAAATATTTGGAAGCAAGGTAAGCAGCACCAGCAGCTATCTGGTGAGGTTTGAACTGGAGCCAAAGTGAGCTCCTAAGCCTGCCGAAAAGAAAATTAAGTTCATAAAATACGGAAAATGTACTCATAACAGATAAGCAACACCAAACAATTAAACTTACAGGGTCTAGAGCTGATTGAGTATGTATTTGGCATAATCATGGAACAATTAGTTCAAATAAGTTAATTTCATGCAATAAACAAGTTTCCAAGAAAAAGCGAACATAGGAACCAAAACAAATTTTCCTTACCAACAAATAAAGCAGCGAGTGTGATGGAAAAATCCAAGATTCTTCAGCAGTATGTTGATTTGAGTACACCCTAATATAGAATACTTAGTACACCATCTACACATACAACTTTGCCGCCACAATATACCAACACTGTGTTGATTTGAATGGCCATAAATAATACAAGCAAGCTAAAACCTCCAGCGCAAGGCCAAGCCTCCTCAAAAGTTTGAATCGCCGAAAACTTGAAACATGCAAGTTTCACGCCGTCAGACTTGATAAAATAGATATTGCTAGCTCACCATACGTTCACATTATATATATAAATATATGTATAACTATTCATATGTCCATTGCATATGGAGCTGGAAGAGTCATTGTTGACAATTCTCCTAGCATAGTGCTAATAATGGACTAGATCAAAATGACTCAATTAAATTCTAGTACTTCTTCTATTAGTGAAGTTTGTAGAAAAAAAAAATATCAAACGACGCAACGCACCTTGGGTCGCTATGGAAACAGCCTCCTTGTATAATTACAAGGGTAAGGTCTGCGTACAACTGACCCCCCAGACCCCAACTTGTTGGGAATATACTGAGTATGTTGATGTTGTTGATGTATATGTATAACTATTCATCCCCTCTTATCTTAATTCTCTTTTCTTCTATAGTTCCCCTCTTTGTATAACATATATATACAGTATTTACGTATTTATAATATATATATATACATACATGTGCGTGTGTGTGTGTGCTTGTGTGTTATTTTAATAAATATTACTGCGATGAACACCCCAACAAATGTCTTTAATTTTTCCACATTTTGTAAGTACAGTACTATAGAATAAAGTCCGATAATACATTCTCCTTGTCAGAGAAATGGTGCTTTATATGCATCTCAAAGGTATCACTACATCCATTTGTTGACAAATCATGTTTCTAAAATAAGAAACCTAAATGATTTTCAACAACAAATTCTAGATTTTAGAAACACATGCATCATTTAGCGTCATAACAGTGAGTCTAACATCAAACTTAAACCAGGATTCTTTCATACTACACTTGAAAAGGACATTTTCATACAGTGAGTCTAACATCAAACTTAAACCAGGATTCTTTCATACTACACTCGAAAAGGACATTTTCAAACGTGATCCAAATGAAGAACTGTTCATTATACAAAATAAATTTCAAAATACAAAATATTTGTTCGGCAGAAAGTTAATTTGTACTAGAAAGTCTAGAATAAGCCCTATTGTGTAAAATCAAAAAGAAATAATAAATAAAATCGTGATGACATAACTGAAAAAATAGGACTTTCCTTGCACAAGCATCAGTGTACAGATAGTCATCCAAAGCTAAACCAAAAACAGGAATAAAAATAAAAAATATAAAAATCCTACATGATCAAATTGCAGCAGAAAAAACTTATGTAGAATAAATAATATATTAACTTGTTTAACATCATATAAAAAAGAAAAATAAATTACCGAGCCTGAAGAAAGCACTTTTGATCAACACGCAACAGACGTTTAATATCCTATAGGCACTTGCTGGCGGAGACCAATAACCCAGCGATATAATTAGCAAATTCTGACAAAAAAATATCACTGCCAACACCTACAAAAAGTTTCATCAGCTATTACTAAATTTCTACTGTATGTACCAAACCTCAATTTTGTGCCCCAAAGCATCTAAAGTAAGTTCTTTTTTCCTGAGCTACAAATTCCACCTATGATTGATAAAGATAGATAACAAATAATTCAATTTTATAGGATCTAAAGGTAAACTGTCTAAAGAGAATCATCTTATCAACCCCCAACCCACACCCCACACCACCTGCCCCAAAATAAGGAAGTAGTAATATATAAATATTCTGACAAGAGTCATCAAAATGCTTGTTGTTCCATCAAAATATGTTCCACACTGATAGACATTAGTCCATCTCCCACCCTCCCTCACTTCCTCCCCCCTCCAAATTCCTTCCTGCAGATGCAGTTAATCATTACCCTTCTTTCCCTTTACAGAAAGGTGGCAGAGTATATGACAAAAGACTTACTTTGGACAGCCAATATATAGAGGTTATGTTTATGAAACTATGACGGCTTGAAGTATTTGGAACCGAACAAGTCAAAAATATAAATGGAGGTTTACTCGGTAGTAGAAAAAAAGAAGGGAAATTGTCTGAAGATTTTTGGGATAGTGATCTGAAGATTTTTAAGATAGTGAACACCACAATGTCTGTAACATCGGTACAAGAGAGGATGAAGAATGGCGAAGTGAATATGTCTGTAGAAGTTTGGAACATAATTGTACAGAGAGAGGAAAGAAAGTTGAGTCGAGACTTTGCAGCCCATAACCAGTAAACAGGACAGTGGTAACAAGAAACAACTCAGCAAATATCTTTAAAAATTCCTCAGGCTATACTCATAGGCATGGCATATTGAAATGAAGTGAACGCAAACGTATATCCCATCATAGGATTTCCATATCGGAACAGATCAGGACATAAAATGGACAAATTATTAGTTATCCATGAAATTAACTTCTATATCCAATGGAGGAGCATGTCGTGAAGGTGTCAGCATGGAAAAGGCATCCACAAGATATCTTTAGTTCAACTTCGGATGAAAAACAAAACATTTGATGAACAGCAAATCAACCGCCAGCTATTAATATCATATGGTGTGCACGCTAACCCCCTATAGACCCTGCAATTATATGCCAATCCAAGACAACAAATATATCATGCCAGGATGATGACAGAGTATGAGACAAAAAAGCAGTAAGGAAGTTGCATGCAATGCAATGACAAAGAAGCTATAAAGTTGATTACAAGTGCTTGCCACCGTTGGTTGGTCAATAAACACCAGAAACAGTGATTTAAATCTGACAGAACAACAATACTAGCCCTGCACTCAAAGTCTAAAAAAGTCGTTACTGGTAAGTTCTACATCAAATCATATTATCCGTCGGTTCAGGTTCTCACTGCAAATAGCATTTTAATAATAATACTTGTAACTAATGGACTTACCCTTCACTGATCAAGCTCAATGCCAGATTCAGAAATCCGGAATGCGGAAAACCTAACTTTTGAAGAGTGGATGTCAAAGATTCATATGGATGCTGCACACCTAGCTCAAAATTTAAAGTTGTCAAAATCAATTGCTCAACCTCCAGTATCCGCTCGCGATATTGCTCGAACCAATCCTGTTAGCAAATGATGGAAAACTAATAATCAATCGTATCAACAACATAAACCACATTTATAACTTAAAAACGGAAACAAAATAATGATTATAAAATGAAAATTAAAAGAAAGAAAGTAAAGAAAACAGGACAAACAAATTGCTACATCAAAAAACTTACTTTGATGTTTTTTCTTTCCTTAGTCATATGACTCATATTTGGCTCGAAGCAAAATCATATTACACAGTAACACCTTATTGTTTCTCACATGCTGCTAAATCTTTTATGCATTTGCAAGAACTACGAACAGCATGTATATTTTATTCCAACAATGCGCAAACACATTTTTGCAATTGCATCTATGCACGAGAAAAGCTTTACTATACTTCAAGTACCTTCTAAATATTCTGGAGGTTGTGTAGATAATAAGAAACAGAAGACCACTGATTAGATGGTGGTTGAAGATGTCCATAATATCCATACAGAAAAAAGAAAGTGACAAGTTGGTTGGAAAAATGCACTTGGAAAAAATACTACTGCGGCCATGTAAAGAAGAAAAAATACCATATCCTTTTAAATTTCATTATCACAAAATGAATACTATTGAAATATGCTAGTTCTTGACTTCTAGAATTCTGATCAGTGCCAAAAATTTTAGTAAATGTAAATAACTCAAAGAAAGAAGTCACTTACAAGAGGCAGCTTGAATGAGAGAGTAGCAAACTCGTGCCCATGAAGAATTTCAGAAGACACCTTTAGTACATCATTAAGTGGGCGTGGTGTCTCCTCTGACTTCGAGGCAAGAAAAAGTGTGGCAGTAGCTATTAACTGCAGCAAACAAATATTTTAATTAATTAGTTTTTATATCAACACAGCAACAGACTAACCGATATCACATGGAAGAAAAAACCCTGCAGATTTAAAAAGGTCTCCACTCAGGATAATATTGTCACTTATCTCATTTTGAAAAAATGAGTTTTTAGGTATATAAAAGCGCAACATACAAATCTGTCTTGAGACGCGTGCGATCGACGAACAAAAAAGCGATGGCACAGAACCATTGCAGTCCCAATAGTTGTCTGAGGTCTGCAAATGCACAAATAAATAAATGTCACTATAATATTAACTCCTCAACCAACTTCTCGCGAGTATCTTTCAAAATTAAAATAGCTTACAGATCAAGCCGGATCCCAAGATTCTGAAGGAACGCACAATACGAGTATCTGAGACGCGTCTCATGCAGCACATCAATGCCATCTTTTCTTGAAGGAGAGCACCTCTCTATCTCGTCCCTTGACATAAAAACCACTTCATCATCCTCAAATTCTAATCGAGTGCGTTTGGAGGGAGCTGAATTATAAGTACTGGAATCACTTGCACCAATAAAAGCTGAACTGCTGTCATGGACTACAGAGCTTTGGCAGAAATATCTGGATAACTGATGAGGCACCCGTTGCCAAAGATCAGCATGATTTCGAAGGCCACGTCCACAATAGAGTAGTTGCTGATAGGGTCTCCCAGTGCTTTCACAAGAGAAGTCTGAAAACTTTCTTCTTTTTGAAGGAGGTATAGCTTCAGGCCAGACGCCTTCATAACTAGGTCCACGCTGCATTGAGCTTGTGGAGAATTCAGTGTAGGGGTCAGGATTCTTAGCGTAAAAATTTGAATCATATGGGTGGTTATCATATCTCCCGCAGTAGTTTGCAGCAGCTGTTGCTCTGACGCTCATGTTCCTGTTGGACGTTCCACCACTGTAAAAGTGACGACTTTTTGGTCTATAAGGTTGTGTGAGAGACATAACTCCTATCCATATCAGAGTAAAGAACATATATTAGTAAGTCAGATAGGATGAAAGAGATTAAACAAGTTAAGCAACAGATTTATCCTCGTGTTATTGGTCCATGAATGGTAAAAACGATACACAAAATAAAAGCTGTACTCTACAACAGCATAATGTCATGTCTTTGTCAAGAGGAAAATTGAGTGCTCATAACTGAAGCCCGGATGCATTCGAAAGAGATTATAACATCTAAACAAAATCCATTCGAAGTGAGAAAATTATAAACGAGAAATGCTTCCAGGTGTCGAGCCAGGTATATATACCCGATGAGGCATCCATAATATCGTAATTGTCATATGCCAATATACTTGCAAATCAACACTTGTACGTGCTGTACATGTTATATTCTCAACCTCTTGAACAGAGTTACAAAAAGACCTGTGCATGATATAACTCAATTTCAGCCGTGACTGATCAAGAAAAATCATAATTCTCCATATCAGATCAGCTGGACTCACTGGATCAAAAGATTCAAAATTATAACAAACGCTCATCATCAAAACACCTGATTCATGAGCTGGAAAACTCAGCTAGATAATAACGCAAAAACCAATGTCCAGACATATTACTAACAAAATTTTCCACAACCAGATCAAAATCAACTCCTTTTGGCCACCGCTAAGTGTATCTACGTACATAAATACATATATATATATATATACATACAAAACGAAAGTTATATTTCAACGGCATATAGATCTTAGTATGAAAAATGAATTTTACCTTGGCAGCACGTATGGCGATCAAATTAAAGATCTGAGACAACACATGTAAAAATCTTCTGTTTAGCTATCGATTAGGGTTTCGGAAATCGGAAGGGGGAAAAGGTGGAATTAATTTTCAAATATCGGACCAGCGGTCTGCCGACGACTATGACTATCACGATGTTCTCAGCCGATCGGCGATCAGTACCTTTTTCATTTTATTTTCTATCTATTTGGTTTGATCATAGTGTAAGCGAGCCGACTCGGCTCGAGCTTAGTTCGTTAAGGTTCGAGTTCGAGGTTTTAACGAGGCGCGTTCGAGCTTATTTGAAGTTTGTTAAGGTTCTAAAAGAAAATTTTTATATAATTTTTTATAGTTCGGCACGTTAAAATTTGAGATCGGCTCGTTAAGGATCGAGCTCGAGGCCTTGACTAGTTGAGCTGGAGCTCGATTTTTGGCTGCTCGACTCGGCTCGTTAAGAGCTCGAGCTCGAGCACCTTAAGCTCGAGCTCGGCTCGACACGTTAATAGTCCTAATCAGTTATAAGATATCCTCCTATAATTCCCGAATGTGCTGAGCCTAAGTGGCATACTCGCATGCTTTGGGATCCTAGCTGTCAAAATTCTATGCTTCATTATTTGGCTTGGATAGATTTTAATTTAATTCTATGCTTCATCAGCTGGACTCACTGGATCAAAAGATTCAAAATTATAACAAACGCTCATCATCAAAACACCTGATTCATGAGCTGGAAAACTCAGCTAGATAATAGCGCACAAACCAATGTCCAGACATATATTACTAACAAAATTTTCCACAACCAGATCAAAATCAACTCTTTTTAGCCACCGCTAAGTGTATCTATGTACATAAATACATATATATACATACAACACCAGAATTATATTTCAACGGCATATGAATCTTAGTATAAGAAAATGAATTTTACCTTGGCAGCACGTATGGCGATCAAATTAAAAATCTGAGACGACAGTCATATAAAAATCTTCTGTTTGGCTAGCGATTAGGGTTTCGGAACTCGGAAGAGGGAAAAGGTGGAATTAATTTTCAAATATCGGACCAGCGGTCTACCGACGACTATGACATGACTATCAGGATATTTTCAGCCGATCAGTACCTTTTTCATTTTATTTTCTATTTTGTTTGATCATACATAGTGCGATAAATTAAACGACCATCGACTCGAGCTTGATTCGTTAAGGCTCATATTCGAAACTTTAAATTGCTAATTTTGTTATAATTCGGTACGTTAAAGCTCGAAATCGGCTCTTAAGGCTGGAGCTCGATTTTTTGCTCGTTTATTTAACGAGCCGAGCTCGAGCACCTTAAGCTCAAGCTCAGCTCGACTCGTTTACAACCCTAAAATAATAACAAAATATTTATAAATCACCTTACCTTTTAAAAAAAATATTAACTTTTTGGGGTGATTGGATATAAAAATATTTTAATTCTGATTGAATTTATTGGATAAAGTGAATTATTTTGAATAAAGTTTGTTGAGTGTTATTATAAGTTCGTATTTTAATGATTCTAGTACAATATGTGTAATACATGGATAATTGATATTTTTTTTTTTTCAAAAAAATATGTAGCAATACTAATTTACATACTAAGTCGGACAAATAAAAGTGCTATACAAATAACAAAGTTCATAATATTATTTTAAATTTTAAAAAAATTCTCTATATGAAAATTGACAATTTTAGTTATAATATTGTCAAAGTTGTCGCAACAAAAAATCTTTAAACATCACAAATTTGTGTGTGAAACGGCCTAATTATCCAATAAAAATGCATACTTACACTCTTAAATATTATATTTTTGTTTACGTTGTCTTTTAGAGTATAATTTTTTAGTTTGAAAGTAATATTTCCTCAAAAAGTGTGGATGTTAAACAATTATATCAGCCTAACAACAACCATAGTGTTTAAACATTGCATGATCTTAACTTTGATATCTATATCTATATATATAAAGAGACATCATATTTACGAAATATAGTAACAAGAAAAAGTCAACAACCTGCTCGTTTTGTCGGGGAAGACTGTTTGTTATTTTAGTTTTTTTGTTGTTCTTGTTTTGTGATTGTTTGTGTCTGTGTTTGTGTTAGTATTTGTGTTAGGTTTGGTCCATTGACCTATGTTAGCCCGAGTGTAACTTTAATATCCTGTTGAGATCGTACACTCGTGCATTACCTCTGTTCGGGTCGTATTTTTTTGTTTTTCTTTTTTATTTTTCATTCTCCTTTTGGGAGTTTTTAGTGTCATCGTGTTTTTTGTGTTTCTAGAGTATTACCCTGTTGGGGTCAGTTTTAGACGATCTTTTCATATGTCCTCCCTATTTATTCAGTTATTGGTTGTTTGTATTCAACGTTTTTTTTTTCTTTTTTCAAAACGATAGAATTAATTCAACAAACACATAATTACAATCGGCTCACTAGCCGAAATGGGAGGACTACCCAACGTAGCCTAAATACCACAACGCACACTACAAAACAGACTAGAAAAATAAAAGCTCCCCAAAGGAGAATACCTAAAGATCCCCACAGGAGAATACATAAAATTCCCCACAGGAGAATACATAAAATTCCCCACAGGAGAATAACACAAACTCCCTAGAGGAGAAAACAAGTTCCTCCAAAAAAGGAGATAACAAAACACAATAACAAACACCACATAGACACAAAACAAACAACACACAAACAAACACCACATAGATACAAAACAAACAAAACCAAACAGAATATTAGACTAAATCCCTCCTCTGCAGGCAACAAACGACACTGCACAACCACAAAGCTGAAACCGGTGGCAACCTCCCAAATCAGACAGGGACCCGGACCAAAGCTCTGAACCAGAAACTACAGTAAAGCTACGCCTAACTAGAGCCGAGCCAACGCCCAAACCCTCGCCCAGGAAGACTACCCCGGCCCAAAGCTAGAGACCAACTCCAAACTCTCCCTACTAATCGGTAACCAAAAACCAACGTGTCACCAGAGGCACTGAACTCCGCATACCG